CACAATGCAGTGTCCAGATTGAAACTAGATAGTGGGGTAGAGAAATCAGCATTTGAATGAACAGGGTAAATTGTATACATTCCACAAGAACATTATACCAACAGACATTCTTTCCTTTTCCAGTGATGAACAAGGTTGTCTATGTCTTGTATTGGGCTTTCATGAGTGAACAGAAGTATTACTGAATACATTCTATCCTACTGTTCTTATGGTATTCATTTATTTATTATTTTTATTTATGTGCAGTGTATGCCTGTGTATGCTGCTTGAGAGCAGATGCTCACAAAGGCCGGAGAAGGTCATCAGATTCCCAGGAGCTGGTGTATCGGCAGTTGTGAGCTGCCCAACATGGGAATCTAATCTGAGTTCCCTCTAAGAGCAGGAAGTGCTCCTAATAGCTGAGCCATCTGTCCACCTCCATTAGTAAAATACCTTAATAAAATATTTTATAGCCTTTTATCTGGAAAAATTATCTGTGAATGTATTAACCATTCATAAAATGTAAACCAATAAGACCTCTAATATATTGCTCATAGAAATGAAATTGATATTGTCATATGAAAAAGATACTAGTTCTTTGTTTTTTTTTTTTTTTAACATTAAAGCTGAATGTTTATATGCACCTCAGGGTATCAGGTCTCATGGAGACTCTTGCATGAATAGACCAAGACACAATTCAGGTTCCTTTTTCATTGCTCCAATCAAGGGGAAAAAAGCGCAAGCAATCAAACTTATCCACCCAGTAGCTTTATCAGTAGATTGCTAAATCATGGTATGAGCATACAGTTTACAGTCTCTATAGTAATATGGGTGTGTGTGTGCATCTATGTGACCATCATAGCTTGCAGAGAAATGACTCTTGGGACGAAAGAAGTCAGTTGGGTTCAACACTACCAAGTACCTAGTGTTGGTTCAAACTTTGTGAGTCTGACTCCGAGTAGTTTAGGCATCTTTAAGCACAGCACAATTCGGTAAATTTTTTCCTGGTCATAATTAACTCAATCCAGTGTGCACAATAAATCATGAAGTAAGTTAAATAAAGATTGGCTGTGACTACATTGAAACTCTGTAAAGTAAATGTGACCACCTGATAAGTTCTACAGCTTGCCTTGAAGAGTTTAAGTTAGCCTGGGTATGACTCCATTTTGAAATAAAGAGCCATCTTGACTGAGAGCTGAACTCAGGTACCAGGAAATACCACAGAATGTACACATTGGCAAAACAAAAAACAAAAAACAAAGTTAACTCTCCTAGCAACAGCCTCCAGGAAATATCACAGAACAAATACTTCATAGAAAATAGAGACAATCTCCCTGGCAATAATCAATGGGAATCGGATGGGAATCAGATGGGAAAATTCTCCCCAATGTTTTAAATATAGTTTAAAAGAATAACAATTGTGATCATATGCCTTAAGCAATTGTGATTATGTGCCTCAGAAAAGGTCACTTTGCCTCTCGTCCCTCTAACTTTTACCTAATCCTGTAGAGTCAAGGCTTGTGGCTCCCCCCACCCCCGCTTGCTGTCATGGAAACATGTGCCCCCTGCTTGCTCCCATGGAAAGCCCCTGCCCACAGACTTTCCCTTTAAAAACTGTGCTCACTCAGAGCTCGAGGTCCCACTTCTCTACTGCTGCATTAGTGAGACTTGGGTTCCGAGTTTGATCGCTCTCGTAATAAAGCTCTCTTGCTATTGCATCGGGTTGTCTCCTGGTGGTCTCTGAGAGTCCTGTGAACCTGGCATTACAGCCTGAGAAAAACAAGCTCTTGCTAAGGGTCTGGGGGGAGAATCTGACGTGGTCCCAGCCACAGAGATAGTGCACAAGTCACCAGGCTAATCACAGTGGATAGCAGGTTACAAATACTCTCCTTTGAAGGAATGACCCTGTGTGTTTAACATTAAAGGTTCCCTAGTACCTCCTTGCCTCCTGCACATGAGCATGTCGTAGCAAAAACCCTGGAAGAATAATGTTGCCAAAGAGAACATGCCGGGAGCCAAAGCTATTTACTGAAGCCAAAGCCAAATAGTGAGCAAAGGTCATTTAGTGGAGACCCAAAGCTATTTAGTGAAAGAGTTACCTAGGACCCTAAATCATGGGTGATAGATTTGTGAGGACATCTGTCTGTTAGCCTTAGGGCATCCGTGAGATATCTTAAGAAAACATCCTTATGGTATCTTGCAGGTGCAATATTCAACCCATGAAAGCATTCTGCCTATCTCCTGCAGCAGTAAATTAACCTTCCCCCTTTTCCTGCCTTCTCCCTATAGAAGTTGGGTAAAAATTTCTAATACAGGAGGCTTTGATCAGACAAACAGACTTAGCCTTCATTCCTTGTGTTTCTTGTCCCCCCCCCTTCCCTCCCCCCCCCCCCCTTTAGGAACCCGTTGAAGTCCCGTGGGTCGGGACAAGAACACATAGCATTTGTTTTGTGCATTTACTAAGTTCACCAGTTGCTTTTTGTCTGTTGCTGTGATAAAAACCAAAACCATGGTAACTTATAGAAGGAAGGGTTTATTTGGGCTTATGTTCTAGAGGAATAAGAGTTCATGATGCTGAGAAAGCATCACAGCAAGCAGCAGGCATGGTGGCAGAAGCTGGAAGCTGAGACCTCATACCTTAACCATGAGCATAAAGCAGAGAGCAGATTGGGATTGGAAGTGGCACAAGACACCCAAAGACCACTACCACCAGCAAGATCCCACCCCCTAAGCTTTCCTATATTAGTCAGGGTTCTCTAAAGAGACAGAACTGATGGAGTGAATGAATATATCTCTTGGGTATTCCAGCAGTGGCTGTCTCATGATGGAAAGGCCAAGAATCCAGTATTCAGTTAGTTAGTCCTCCAGGCTAGATGTCTCTGCAGTACTCGTTTGGATAGTGCTAGAATCTGGAAGGAGTCCAAGAGAGCTGCTGGTCTTTAGCATAAGTTGGGTCTTGAAGAAGCAGGTTCTTGTACTATCAAAGGAATGCCTCAGCAGCAAGATGGATGAACTTGCCAGTGAAAGGCAAGTAGGCAAAAAGCAGAAGCTTTCTTCTCTAGTTTGCATGTATGTGTGTGTGTGTGTGTATGCGTGCGTGCATGTGTGCGCGTGTGCGTTTGTGTATCAGAAATTCTGTTCCAGAGTTAGGGTGTGTCTTCCCACCTCAAACTAAAAAAAATAAAAATCCCTCACAGGCGAGCCCAGATGCTTGGGTTTTAGCTGATTCCAGATACTGTCAAGTTAACAACCAAGATGAGCCATCATACTCCCCAAGAAGCACCATGAACTAGGGACTAAGTGTTCAAATATCTAACCTGTGGGGCCATTAATTGAAGCCATTGCAACACACTATAACAAAGACCCTTGTAGGTAACAGGAATATCCCAAAGTTCTCCAGGTTGGGATGTTCAGGACCTGCACCAGCCGATTCAGTGTCATAGATAGCGACACCTAGACTTCATACATGCTGGAGGGGCCTCCTAGCTCTCTGGGGACGTACTTAGCAAGGACACAGGTCCCATTCATGAGAAGTTTGCCCTCAGGGTCTAAGTTCTTCTCAAAGTCTTTCACCTAGTCTATCTACTTAGGGGTTTGGATTTCAGTATATAAGAATTTTGAAAGGATACATATATCCAGGCCAGACATCATTTTAAAAAACAAAGCTTCAAGCATGAAAACAAAATAAAGTGTTAGGTATGCAAAAGCGGTTTGGAAAAAAATTAGTTAAAAGGTAAGAGAAAATCAATGGATGAATGGATAAAATGTTTTATTCAGCTACAAAGAATGACTTTTCATTGTTTGCAGGAAAATGGAAGGAACTGGAGATCAAGTTAAGCAAAATAAACCAGACTCTGAAAGACATGTATCACTCATGGTCTCATGTGTGGACTCTAGGACTAATAATAATAACAATAACAACAACAACAACGACTTGAATGTGAAACTGTGACTGTGAAGGATGTGGAAAGATATTGAGGTGAGGTGACAGTGAGGGGAGGATGGTGGAATAGTGAACTTGACCACAGTACATCAAACACATGTATGAAAATATCACATGACTTTGTGGAGGGCAAGGCTGGAAGGGTAGAGTCACTGAGGCTTAAAAAAAGAGAATCGTTTGGGCCCAGGAGTTCAAGGCCTGCCTGCTCAGCAGAGCAAGGTGTCAAGGTAAAAAACCAAGCAAACAACAAGAGCAGGGACCCCTTAGATGAAGGGGGGAAAGGTGGAAAGCAGGGACCACGGGTGGAGCTTGTGTCCTGGGCGTGTTATAGTTCTGAGGTTCCACCGTTGCTTATTACATTATATCTTTATTTAGCTTTAATTTTGAAAGGGTTTATTTATTTGATGTGTATGTGCGTTGTCTGCACATAGGTCTGGGCACCATGTGCTTGCTTGGTGCTGGCGGAGGCCAGAAGAGGGCGCCAGATTCTCTGGACCTGCAGTTAAAGACCGCTGTGAGCCGCCTGGTGATTGCTGGGAGCAGAACACAGGTTCTCTGCAGGAGCAACAGGTGCTTTTAACCCTAGCCATCACTTCAGCGCCTATATTTAGCTTTTGTGTCTCGCTCTAGCACAGGCTTGCCTGGATCTCACTGTACGGCGGCGGCACTGGAGAGTGCTTCTCAGGCTTCATAATTTGGTCTCAAAGCCCTTGGAGTGGCTGGTTAGTAAATCTGAAATTCTCCAGCGGCCTCAGGTGGTGCCTCTGAGACTTTGGGACTTGGCGTGACTCAGGAATGGCCTACCTCTTGCGTGGAGCACCTGCCTTTCCTCTGAGTTACCGTGGCGCCTTCCTCCTCGCCGGTGTCCACGGAGAAGCTTACTGCACAGGAGCAGCGGCCCGCATCCCACCCCCTTCCCCGCGTGACTCTATTCCGCCCGTTCCGCCCCACGCGCCATCGCTGCCGTTTGAAGCGTCGCCTCCCCACCTCCCTGGTTCTTGCACGGTCTGCTCGGGCGCCCAGGATCCCTGGGCTCTCCAGACCTTGGACCGCTGCCATCTCCGACCTCTCCAGGCGCATCTTCTCTGCTGGCCGTAGCGGGATGGGCCTGAGCCCGGCAGCCAGCCGCAAGCACGGGATTCGCCACTTCAGGATCCCATGCCTGCGCCCCAAGCGCACCTTGAAGATCGTCAGTACCGGGCCAAGTGACACCCAACCTAAAACTGCACAGTCAACTGTGCCCCAGCCAGGTCTGCCTCTCTGGAGGGCTTTTTGGGTGGTTCTTATTGTTCTAGAGTCGCCCCCTCCCATAAATGGCTTGGCAGTTGCTTGCATCTAGACAAGCGCCCATCCTAATTTTATAGAGAGCTAAGCAGGAGCTGACACAGTTCTAATTCTTATTTATTTACTATATTTTTTGGAGAAGATAGGATCTTGCTAAGTAGCCCTGACTGGCCTGGAACTCAATATGTAGATCAGGCTGGCCTAGTACTCACAGAGACCCACCTGCCTCTCTGCCTGCAGAGTGCTGGGATTAGAGACCACCACACCTGGCTTCAGACACCATTCTAAACCAGAGCACGCTGCCCGTTTTTGGCTTGAGATGGTCCTTCTTGGGGTTCACTCCTTCCCCCAACAGAAGGCACTTGTGTATTAAATAACACCTCTTCCCTCCTGAATTAGAGTCAGCGAAGTCTCAAGCGCTGGCGGTCAAGCACTTGCCGAAGCAATTCAAGAAAGGCCGTGGCCTGTTTGAACAGGCCCGAAGCGTCCTGTGGAGGTAAGATTCTATGAAGACTGGGGCGATGGGTGCTGGAGCCTTTTTGAAGATCTGACTTAGAGGCTACGTTCTGCAGAATAAACATCCTCCCCATCTCCGAACCCACCTCCTTCAGGTGGTTTCTGTTTTAATCAGCCAACAGCAAACCAGTTAAGTAGAGCCTGCTGGGTAAGATTGAGCAAGGCTGCAGACCTGGTGGCTGTTGGTTTGTCCTGTTGAAGCACAAGGCCACTCTCCAGACTCATGAAAGTTTAGTGGGTTTGTAGCACAAACCAAGGAAAATTCAGGAGGCTTGTGCCTGGATATTAGGTTGGGGAAGGAAGAAGAGGTGGGAAGCTTTTTGCATTTTATTATAATCTCTTACATACTGTCTTCCCTCCTTTTAAAATTACTGTGCAAGTATCACTGGAAAAGGCATTTGAAGAGAACAATGTGCAAGTTAAAAAAATCGGAAAGCTCGATCAGAGCGGGAGGGGAGAATGAATAAAATAGTTTATTTGAGAATAAGTTCAAAGTGCAGTGCAGTGGGTACACCTTGTGGAAACACACAGTGTGTTACAGGGGGGTAGGAATGGAGAGGAGCATTTAGAATTGAAACGTGGAGAATGGAAACTGCTGTGAATAGATCACTTTTGGCCACAGGTTTAATAAATGATGGGACATTTAGGGACCAGCAGGAAGTTGGGTGTGGCTATCCAAGTTGAGCTGTCACTGAGCAGGTGTCTCCGTGAAGTAATCTTTGTGGCAGGCTGTCATGATCTTTGTGGAAGTTATGGCTTTGTGGAATTTCCAGAGGTAGCTTTTGTCAGCAGCCCTCGTCAGCAGCCCTTGCTCTGGCTGTCTTTTGTCTGGATTTGAGACCAGGGACTCCATTTTGAATGGGATGGCTCTCACCTACACACTCAGTTTTAAACAACTGGAGAAAACCAGCAAGCAGCCATTGTATTGCATGAAAGCGAATGTTTTCAAGGAGTCAGGTGTGCGGGTGTGTGGGGGAGGTGTCTTTCAATGACAAAACTGAGAGGTATCTTAAAAGAACAGATCCGAAGTGATCCATCACACAGACTTTTCCATGATGTTTAACAATGCAATTGCAAACCGTTTATAGACAGAAACTGGTAACTAAGATGGAGATCACATCCAACGAGAAGGGAACAGAGCTGATTCCAACATCTAAGTCGGAGATCGAAGAAACACTAAAAAATCAAGCCGCTGAGGTGCGTACCCCAAGAATTTATAGAACAAATGTTTTAGTCTCTTGGTGATTGAGCACTATATTGTATTTTACTATGTGTCTAATATCTGCACTGATTTGAGATATTGCTTATGTGTTTTTCAAGCAGCTTTCCTGAGGCATATTTAGCACATATTTAAATTCTGGATGTCTAATTTGCAATTAGACACTTTTTGCTCTTGTTAGAGCTGAAAAGAAAAGAGAAAAAAAAATGACAGGTTCCTGGGAAAAAGCTGACATGAGATTACCCCTTAGAAGACCTTTATTAGGAGAATAATAATAAAGGTCACAACATGGGGGAGGGGCAGCAGCAGGCCTTGGAGTTAGGAGAGCAGGAGAGCAAGAGGCATAGTGTCTCTGAACAGCCGCATGGCGGGGCCTTGGAGGGACAGAACACTCGCCCTTCACATCCTGAGAACAAAGGGGTTTCTGACTCTTACAGGTTTTGGAGGTGTGTGCATGTGTGTGTGGGCAAGCTTCATATCACATGATCTATTCTGGCCATGTCACTGTACCAAAGGGCATGGTGATAGGCATCAGGTAGGACTGTGAGTTTATCCTGCAGGTGGGGGTGGGGTTGGTGGAGGGCTATATGGGCACAAAACAACATACTTTCTTATCAGCTCTCTGTCTCAGAGAGAGCTGCAGGGAGGAGTGGTCTGGCGTGTGTGTGTGTGTAAGAGAGAGAGAGACAAATGAACATGCACGAGCCAGCAAAAGGCGGGGGGTGTCTGTGATCTAGAAGATACGTGAATAGAATTTCAACAATTTTGGGTGCTCATAAGAAAAAAAAAAGAATTTCGAGACCTTTGCCACAACTGAGGCAACAATTGAGGCTTTTTTTTTTTTTTTTTTTTTTTTAATGTCTATAATCTGTTCCCTGTTTCCACCACATCTCCATCTTCAGGCAGCAACCAGAATGCTTTCTGGCAACTGTAGATTAGTTTGCATCTTGTAGAGACTTAGCAAGTGAGGCCATAGTACATGTACTTTATTTTAAGAGATTATTACATTGATTGATTGTGTATGGGGATGTGAGCATGTGTCGGGGCCAGAGGACAACTTGAAGAAGTTGATCTCCTTCTACCATGTAGATTTTAGGATCAAACTTAGCTTGCCAGACTAGGTTGCAGTGCCCCGTTAATGCCCGCCTCCCTTCCCCAGAGCCATCTTTCTGGTCCTCCAGCAGTGGTTTTAGTGAGGTGGTCAGGGTCTTTTCACTATGACCTTGCCACCCTGTTCCTTTAAATGAGCTCTTTTGGAGAAGACCAATCCCAACAGACATGGGTTTTACTTTCTTACTACATAACATAAAAGTGTTCATTGAGTCTGTATATCAATTGCTTAGCGTTATAGAAATGTCATCCGTACTAACATTTTCACAGGATCAATGTCTCTTGTGCTACAACCAAAGAGAATTGGAGGCTCTTCTTAAAGACTCTTTCACAGGCCACTGCAAACATTTCTGCCAGAGTTGGAGATCTGTTCAAATGATACATCCAAGGACTGATTTACATTAGAAGAGAACAGAACCAGTTGGCAATAATTATGAATATTCATAAGTCCGTCATATTGTACAATGCAAACACTCAGTTGAGCCCTTAAGGCAGATTTGTTTTTCAGTAATATGGGGCAGATAGTTATTGCTGCCTCTGTAGCTGCAGGGTGGCCAACTGCTTATAACACTAAAGATTCCTCTGAAACAATTGCAAAGACTTGTGCTTTGAAAGGTGAGCTCCAGAATTTCATGTGGTGACACAATGTCAGGACCTTGTAATTCCATATAACCATCAAAACTGGGGTCAAAGCAGAGGAAATCTAGGTGGGGAACATTGTGGCAGGGCATTCTCTGCAGGGCTTTGCCCAGCAGAGTCCAAAAGGGTGGCCTTGTTCTTGCACTCAATGTCTCCCATGACCCTTAACAGAAAAGGAAGAAACTATAAATGTATGTAACCACTGGATAAGCTGTGTGGCTGGCTCTTGGCTCCCCACACCGGCCTTGTATGATGTTCGTAATAGTCTGACTCAGGTTTCTATGTTTAGAGGATTATGGAAAGACTTACTGTGACCTATCACTTCAAGCCCTGTCTTCATCTGAGCCTGACAGAGTCTGCATCTCCATGGGTATCTTTATGGAATGCTTGTCCATCTGTCCCCAGTGTCATTCAACCCCCTGCTCTCACCCCCAGCCACTGTGAAGCTCTGTTCCCAGAGACCCCATCTTTTCCCAGGCCATCCATCATTTAAATCTGAGCTGGGCTGCTTCTACTAAACTAACTCACCTACTGCTTTACACAGCAGGAGTGAATGAAAGCCAAGAGAGAATGCATCTTGGTGTCCGATCTGTGAGGAACACCAGCTTCTTTACTTTTTCTTTTAAGAAACATATTTCTGTTTTTTGAGAATTTAATACATGTATACAATGTCTTTTGGCAATACCCATGCTCATGATTTTTTTTTTTTAAATAAATGCACTGAATCCAGTTAGTACTATTGGATGTGTGTAGGACCGTTTACATCCCTGACTGATGGCTGCTGGTGGAGCGAGATCCAGCTCTTTTCCTGAACTGAGGTCTTGATGTTTGCTGGACACAGATACAGTCCCGCCTCTACCCTCAACCCCATTCTCTCTCTTTTCCTTCCATTTTCTGTCTCCATATATCTGTTCTATGGTCATCCCCTGCTCACTCTGTGCATGTTACAACTGGAGATTCCTCATGATTGTCTACCACAAGTGAACCTAAGCTTTTGCTTCTGCAGGACCTTTGCCATGGATTGCCAGGACTGCTCCTTCCTGCTCTTGTAAACCCATAATAGTTATGCTCTTATAGATGTATGTATCCCCTCCAAAATTCACATGTCGAAGTCCTAACCCTCAGTGGTTGTTTTTGGAATAAGGGAATAGTTACTGTTAAATGAGGTCATGGGATAAGGCCCTGAGCTGCCATGATTGGTGTCTGTGAGAAGAAGCCCCAGGGAGCCCTCCCTCTCTTTATCCTCACCCCCATTCTTCATGGGCGCACACATAGGGAAAGTCATATGGGCACAGTGAGGTAGTGGCTGCCATAGCTAAAAGAAGGGGCATCAGAATGACGCTTGTCTTGCTCGACAGTCTGGAGGACGCAGAGCAGATTAACGTATGCTGCTAGAGGCATCCAGTCAGCGGAGTTCAGTCATGTCAGCTTGAGCAGACAAGTGTAAATACATAGCTCTCCCCATGAGAGAGGCCCCTCCTCATTCCTCTGTGTCAAGTCTTACTACTAGGTACAGTCTGGGCACTGGCCCAGCCTAGTGAGCTTCCCAGAACCTTCCACACTGTCTCCACACTCCTAGGCCTAGTGTGAGTAGTGTACATTGCAAGTATACTAGCTCAAACTGCCCCAGCCAAAAGCTTTCTTGGTTACTACCGAATTGGAATCACTCCTATCCCTCCAATCAAAACTCAGCCCTGGGTATCTGAAGGATTGACTCACTCATACCTGATCTGAAATCGGCCAAGCTTCTACCTAAAAGAGGCAGGCTAGATCTCACGTCAGACAGACATACAGCAAAAGAAGCTCACATGTCCAGGCCACATAACAAACGGCACAAAAGGCGAAGACAATACATTTCCCTACCCCTGTCCAAATCCTCTAGTCCTGTAGAAATGTTCTTCCATGAGAATTACTGAGGTGAACCCTACAGCACAGAATGTAAAAGAACAACCACGAGCATGATCAGAGAATTCAAGAAGTTTAAAGCCCCTCAGTGAACTTGAAGAACACAGAAATAAACTCCTGAGTGATGCCCAGGAAAACAAACATACAGCTGAATGAAACAAAGGCAACTCAGGAGCTAAAACCTTGACCCAGAAGAGGAAGAAACATACTGAAGGGAACAAAAGCTGAAATGAAGATGCAATTGAAAAGCCGCAAGGCCCCACCCTTCCTCAAGGCGGTTTTGATCTTGAACCTTCCTGCCGTCATTTCTGTGAAAACATTGCTGGTGATCAACTCTCTCTGCTGCCTTAATCTCTCTGCCAGAGCCTCACCACCAGACTTAACGTGTGTGCTGTTGTCTTTCCTGCTGGGAAAGGTCCTTTCTGAGCCCCTTACCTTTTTTTTATTATCCGTGCCTTGGGCCTTGTCTGCCCACTACCTTGTCTCTGGCTTCTCACCTTCCATCTTCTGTAGGAGAAAACCCTTCACCTTTACCCACCTGCTGGGGTCATCTTCCAGATAGGCCCGTAGTGTTCTTCTTGCCTTTGAGATCTCAACCTGCATCTTGTAAGACTCCTGACTGACCATATGACCATGCTGTATCACTCTGTCCGTGAGATTGCAAAACTTTTTCATGCCTGCTTTTAGGTAAGAGCCAAGGAGGACTCCGCATAGGAGCTGGGCAGTGCTGGGCTCTTTTTGTGCATATGTGTATTGTATATGTGTGTGTATGTCTTGTTTCAAGGACTCTGTACCTGCCAGTCACTCTATAGTGGTTCCTGTTTATTATTACCAATAGGCAAGCAGTACCCACGGCATGGATATGTGAGCAAGGGAGACTTGCGTTCCAGGTGGGATAGGACAAGAAGGTACAAGAGTTCATCACACTCTTCACAATGGCAGGAAATACAAGATTTAGCAATTGTTAATTTACAGCATTTTTCACTTAATAATTTTGGACCACAGTGGATGATTGTGGATAATTGAAACTGAAGAAGACAGAGTGAGGACAAGAGGCATGGGTCTTGCCTCAGAGGGATTAAGAGTGTAGTCTGTAGTCAAGTGTGTGAGAACCTAGCCCAGGGACACAGAGTCAGGTCCCCCAAATACTGTGTCCTCAGTGGAAGCGCTTACATGACATCTTATCAGTGGCAGAACAAAGAAAAAAATTTTACCATATACAGTGGTAGGGCCTGTGGGCAAGCGGTTACAGCAAAGCTGGGAACATTCCGCTAGAGGTTTCAGATGCTGTCTGGTGACAGTCTCGGCACTTGGACCAGTGAAA